TACAATCTCAAACCAGACAAAATCCCAGTATAGACATGGGAAGGTAAATCTGGGGCTGGAGAGATGGCTCAGCAGTTTAAGAGCACTGGCTGCTCTTGCAGAGGACCTGGCTTCCTTTCCCAGTACCCACATGGCAGCTAACAACCATCCTAATTCCTATTCCAGGGGATCTGACACATTCTTCTGATCTCCACAGGCATTGACATGGGTGCACTTACACACATACAGGCAATACATTCTTACACATAAAATAAAAAGTTAAGCCGGCCGTGGTGGCACACACCTTTAGTCCCAGCACTCAGGAGGCAGAGGCAGGTGGATCTCTGTGAAGTTGAGGCCAGACTGATCTCCACAGCGAATCCAGGCCAGCTGTGGCTACAGGGAGACCCTGTCTCAAAAAGACCAAAAAATAAATAAATAAATAAAATTAAATAAAAAGTTAAATCTTACAAAAAAGAAAACCCAACCTAACCTAAGGAACTTTTGGCAACTGATGGCTGCTGGGAGGGGGAAGAATCTCTTATAGGGATGGGACTCTTGATAGGTTAACCAGGCTCTAGTGGATGAACCCACACTGAAGGACATTTGGAGACATAAATCAGACTCTGTAGGCCATTATATAACACACACACACACACACACACACACACAATAGAGTACACTAAATTGGACAGGAGGTAGTAAAGGAAGGTGAGGATGGGAGAGAATCTAAATACCATCAAATTATATTGTATGAAAGTCACAAAAATTCAATTGGAAAAAAAAAAACCAACTAAAATCAGCCTGCTTGGTGAGTCCAAATGCCGGCCACTCTGATTACTAACTGAGTGACATTGGGGAAAGTTGTTTAAGGTCCCAGTATTTTTGTTTCCTTGTCTGTATATGGAACGTGGTTGTTCCCACCGTGTGGAGTGGTCATGGGTGTTGAATGGAATATGCGTGTAAAGCAGTCAGAGCAGTGCTGCTGTAGAGAAAGTGCTGGCGACACTACCCGTGACTCACACTTCTGCTGCTCTGCACGTTTCCCTCTCCTCATCAGTCCACATTTCCCTCCATCTCCTTAGCTTATTCCTCTCCCATCCTGCGCATCTGTACTCAGGGTGTCTGCTTGTTTCTTCATTTCACTACATCTTTCCCAGAGTGATTTCATTCACTCTGATGTTGTGAAACCTTGTTTATCAATGACAGTTCTGCAAGGTTTCTGAGCTCTAGAGCCAACTTTTTGAGTAGCTGGTGGGTGCCTCTAACATGCTCCAAGCAGAAGTTGTTATCCTCCCTCAATCTGAAACTAGCTCCTCTTCCTCCTACCACTTTATCTCATTTAGTAGCAGAATTTCTCCCTCGTGTTCTGCATTTAGGTAAGGAGCATGTCCCCAAATTGGGCCTCCTCTTCCGATTACCTGCTGCTTTTGCACAAATTTCTACAATCATTTACTTGCATGACCTAACTTGCATCAGTTTCCCCAATACAGTGCATGTAGAAATATAGCCCCCAAAGTCAAGTTTCTGCAAAATAAAACAATAATCACCACACCCCACACAAAGCTGGAGTCACAGTAACACCCCCTTCCTTTCCTGTGCAACTTGGATACAAGCCAAGCCACCATTGCCAATACCTCCTTCAACTGTCCCTGACCTCTGCCACACTTCCAGATGTGGCAGACATGCCCATGCTGTTTCCAGGAATTCCTCCTACCCATATGTTAGGCCGGCTGCTTCTCATTCCCCCAGTCCCAATGAATAACACCTCCAAGCACCTTTCCTCAGTTTCCCCAGGCAGAATGAGCTACATCCATCTTGGATGTTTCATGATACTACATTCACATCTCTGCAATAGCCTGGATATTTATTGCTTTCATGTTGAAAGTAATAGATTGTTCATACTATATGAAGCATTCCTATTTATTGAGCCACTGAATAAAATTGATGACTGAATTAGTGAAGCAAATATAAAAAAACATATAAT